TCATTCCTTGCTTTGCTTTTTCACATCATGCTAAAATTTAAAATGCTTGTGTATGTATATTGTATTTAGAAATCTAACAAAAAAAAAAAGGTAAAAAAATGTATTATTTTAAAACTAAACAAATATATTAATTATATTTTAATTATATTTTCTTCTATATAGGTTGTTGGTACTTTGGTTGTMATCAGTTACAGTACACCCGTRTTCATAGCTGTGATAATTCCTATTGGTATTATTTATTACTTCATACAGGTAATTTTACATTTAATTTATGAATATAATTTTTATTCAAATTTCATTTTTATTACAGAGATTTTACGTTGCAACATCACGTCAGCTAAAAAGACTTGAATCTGTATCTCGTTCTCCAATTTATTCACATTTTAGTGAAACAGTTACAGGAGCGTCATCCATTCGTGCTTATGGTGCGGAATCCAAATTTATTCTTCAATCTGAACAAAAAGTAGATTTTAATCAAACTTGTTACTATCCGAGTACAGTGGCTAATAGGTATTACTGATTTTGATTGATTTGCGGTGTAATGTATATTAATTGATTTTTATTTTATTCTAGATGGTTAGCTGTAAGGTTAGAAACAATTGGTAATTTTATTATTTTCTTCTCGTCGGTATTCTCAGTATTGGGAAGAGACACATTGAGTCCAGGTATTGTTGGTTTGTCCGTCAGTTATGCTCTACAGGTATGCAATACATTTATTTTGAAAAGAGAATAAGTTTTCTTTACTATAATTATAATTTTGTCTTATTAAGATCACACAAACACTCAATTGGTTGGTTAGAATGACTTCTGAAGTTGAAACTAATATTGTAGCYGTTGAACGTATTAAAGAATATGGAGAAACACCTCAAGTAATATTATGTCAAATATAATTTATTAACYTGATCATATACAAATAATTATTTATATTTTTTAGGAAGCACCGTGGGACGTACCATCCAATTTACCACCCAAAGAATGGCCAACCAGTGGAAAAGTTCAATTTAAAAATCTTAAAGTTCGTTATCGTGAAGGATTAGACTTGGCATTGAAAGGCTTAGATATTTTAGTAGAAGGAGGCCAAAAGGTATCTATCTAAATATAAAATATGTAGGCGCCAATCAAATTTTGTTACAACTCGATGAAAAATTTAGGTGGGTATTGTTGGACGTACAGGAGCTGGTAAATCTTCTTTGACTCTCAGTTTGTTCCGTATTGTTGAAGCTGCTGAAGGATCAATTCTTGTTGATGGTGTTGATATATCTAACATTGGTTTGCATACATTACGTAGCCGTCTCACAATTATTCCACAGGTAACAATTCGTTATTCGTAATTTACTTTTATTCAATTGATTGAAAAAAAAAATTAAAATTAAAGTTGTGTATTTATTATTGATAGGATCCAGTATTATTTTCTGGTACATTAAGGATGAATTTAGATCCAACTAATAGTAATACAGATGAGCAGCTTTGGAATGCCTTAGAACTAGCCCATTTAAAAACACATGTCAAAGGGCTAGTAGGTGGTTTGGATTATGAAGTGTCTGAAGGAGGAGACAATCTTAGGTATTTATAAATATGATGATGCTTGAAGAAAGTTATTTCAGATTTTTAGGGGTTGTAGTTTTAAATTTATTTCAATACATCTTAATAGTAATGTATTTAATTCACTTATTATTTCAAAAAGTAATTATGTCTTTGAAAATTTTTTACATGGTTTCAAAAGCAATTAATAAAATTATATAATTTTTTAATATTTTTATCCTTAATTTTATGAAGGTATACAGTTTTAATTTAATCTTCATAACCAGAATATTTTTTTAATAAGTATATAAATATATATAATTCAAATTTAGGTAAAGTTGTTTTTAAGTTATAGCTTTCTTAGTATTTAAAGTTTAAAAGAGTGGAGTAGAGTGGTACATGGTTCTTTTCGATAAATTTTGTTCCACTATTCTTCTCATCTAAATTTTAAGCACTTATAACTTATTAATTACTATTCTTATATTTAATTTAATGTATCAAAATATCTAATTTTCTAGAGCTACCCCAGGGTGGGTCTATCTATAACTTGTAAAACTTAATAACATTTTTTATCAGTTGCTGTAGTGAATAGTCAATATTAAGTATTAACAATAGATGAACTATTTAAACATTAATTGTTGTATTTCAGTGTAGGCCAAAGGCAATTAGTATGTTTGGCTAGAGCATTGTTAAGAAAGACAAAGTTATTAGTGTTGGATGAAGCAACAGCAGCAATAGATTTGGAAACAGATGATCTAATACAAACAACCATACGATCAGAATTCAAAGACTGCACAGTATTGACAATTGCTCATCGCCTAAACACAATCATGGATTCTGACAAGTAAGCTATACAATGTTATACAGGATTTGTTAGTTAAATTTAAATTTAATTATTAATATTTGTTATCCTCCATAGGGTAATAGTTTTAGATAACGGTTTCATGGTTGAATACGACTCACCGGCTAATTTACTGCAAGAAAAATCATCAGTTTTTTACTTGATGGCAAAGGATGCAGGTCTAGTTCAATGAAGGTGTTCAATTCAATCTCACGTGCCGTGTCAACCTGAATAAATTTGTTCATTTTGCGGTTAAATAATCATAATTTTGTTTTTATTATTTTTTGTCACAGATTGATAATCAAACTATTACATAGTATACTTATAACAGTAAGATGATGTTTTATTAATGAATTTTTTTATTTTAAATTTTGTTTTTAATATTAAGCCGTCCTTGTTATATCAAATACTTGCCATTTGATTAGGGTTTTTCAATGTTAATTTTTATATTTATGTAAACAAGTGGCATACATATGTTACTGTTATAAATTATTCAGTGTATATTTTATTCAAAATAACAGTGATTTTTTCTATAAACAAACAAAATATTAAATTAAATATATGTAAATGTATATTTTTATGTACAGTGTCAATTTTTTTTTATTTTTTATTTGTGTTTAAGAGTCCAGTGTCATTAGATATACCTTTGAGTACTGCAAGCATAATGTCTTACATTTGTAGTTGTTAAATCATGAAGGTTTTTGCATAATTTAACTTACAAATAAAATTTAATTAGAAATAAATCAATATATTTTTAATTGAAAGATATGCTATTAAGTATTAACCCATAGTGCTTAAATATTAAAACTATTAAAGGGTAACTTATTATAGTTAAATGAAATTCATAGYCATCTGTTTTCACTAATATGTTGTATACAAATTAGATACCTATTGCTAGGTGGCGGACATCATTATTCTAAATCGCTTTAAAATTTTGTTGATCGATGAATAATGAATTATTTCTAATGACAAATGACRACATGACTAGAAAGTGGTTAGAAGGTAAACATCAAAAT